TCTCAGCAACATTGTTGCCACTTGGTGTGCAAAGGTTGTTCAGACAAACTAGCCAAACTTCATTGGACAGTTCGGATTACAAACTGTGAAACCTGCAAATACTGTCTCCAGTGGTCAACAGCCAATAGGATTGCTAAGTATTCTTTTTCATACACAGAAAGAGTTTGGTTCCTGGGGCCCAGAGCTTTGCTAACATAAGCCAACGGATGCCCATTCTGCATAAGTACTGCCCCAATATCCACATCACAAGCGTCTGTTTCTATCATAAAAGTTGAAGAGAAATTAGGAAGAGCCAAAACAGGAGCTGTTACCAGGGCTTGCTTAAGTAGTGCAAAAGCTTGTTGTTCATTTGCTGTATAGCGGAATGGTACCCCTTTTTTCAACAGATTTGTCAAGGGTTTGCTCACAATCACGCAGTGACGAATGATCTTTCTGTAATAACCAGCCAGACCCAGAAAACCCCTAACCTCCTTAGCAGATACAGGAGTAGGCCAAACCTGAATAGCAAATTTTTTTGCTGGATCAGTAGAATTAAACCCCTTGTCCATTAATGATGTGCCCCAAATAAGCAACTTGTGTTTGAGCAAAACAACATTTAGACAGTTTCACTTGCCATTGAATTCAAATCTCTTGAGCTACAAGAGGAATTACAAGGGGGGGAGGAGAGAGTCGCCTTCCTCAGGAAGACGAGCACACACACCAGCCACTAGCCGTTTCTCCTCTCCTACCTTCTCACCAACCCTCCACGCACATAAGTACTACGTCCTACTTGGCCCACTCCGGCCCAGCCAGCTTGGGCCGGCCCAATGCTTGAAACACGTCTTCGCGCTTCTCCTGGTCGCGATCATCACCTGAACTTAACCAACGCACGATACGACGGACGGATAGCATCGGTAGTCTCTGCATTTTACTGACAGAAAGAAGATTAAGCTGCCGGGAAGAAGGCCTGCTGTATTGAGGCGCAGGCCGGAGGCGGGAAACGAACCAACCAACCAACCAACCGCCCTATATACCAAAACCCTGTGTAACCGCCATCGGCGGCAACACCCAAACTAGAGCCCAGCAACAACCTCGCCTGCGCCGCGCAGGAAGACGATCGGCCTCCCTGCCCGGCGATCAACCGCACGGAATAGGAGGAGGTGCGGCGGCGGAGCAAGCGCGAGCGGCTTCCCTGCACGCGGAGGAGGCGCATCGTCGGAGGAGCTCGTCGCGCCCGGCCTCACGCGGCGGCGCGTCAAGCCGGGAGGAAGCTTGTGACGCGCGGCGTCCGGGGATCCCGCCGCGCCCGCCCTCGCGCGGCGGCGCGTCAAGCCCGGAGCAAGCTTGTGACGCGCGGCGTCCGAGAAGCCCGTCGCGCCCGCCCTCGCGCGGCGGCGCGTCAAGAGCCGGGAGCAAGCGCGCGACGCGCGGAGTCGGAGGAGCCTTTCGCGCCCGCCCTCGCGCGGCGGCGCGTCAAGCCGGAGGCAAGCGCGCGACGCGCGGAGTCGGAGGAGCCCGTCGTGCCCGCCCTCGCGCGGCGGCGCGTCAAGGGCCGGAGCAAGCGCGAGCAGCGCGCGGCTTCTGTGCACGGGGATCACCCGAGAGAGGGAGGACGCGCGGCTTCTGTGCACGGGGATCACCCGAGAGAGGGAGGACGCGCGGCGAGACCAGCGCGCGGGGATCAGGAGCGGCCGATCAGGCGCTCGCTCAGTTGCCAGGAACCGGAGGAGCGGACGATCAGCTGCAAGAAGGCAAGACCGGAGGGAGTTCCGCCATTGCTCAGCCATGGGTCGCAAGAAGAGGGAGAACCGGAGAGAACCCCCCGAGCAGAAGCAAGACCCAAGCCTGGCTGAGCTCCTCGCATCCCTGGACAGCGAGGTATAATACCTGCTGACCGATTTGTCTTTTGTCACTTTCTTCGATCATAGAGTGACTCGTGTTCATAATTGCTAATTTCTTGATCATAGCGGAACAATTCACCGCTTATTTCCTGTTTGTTCAATATAATCTCTCTCAGCAGACTCAAGATAGATAAGTTCAGTTGCTTTTTTTTTCCCGTTTTTCTCATGGTTTCTTGTTCTGGGCAGCTGTCAAACTTTGTGCGCTAGCCATTTCCAATAGGAAGATAAAGTGACGCTGTTAAAATCTATCGTTTTGTTTTGTTTTGGCCAACCAAAACGATATGTGTTTCGGCTAGGAAAACCTGGGCGCTTCATTTAGCTGATGCGGTAGGAAAACCCAGCAAATACACTCAAAAATAGTGAAGGGGACGAGGGAATCCAGAACATATGACTTATAACTCAAAATTAGTGATTATGTACTTTGTTGCTCGCAATCTAGCTAGGATGTTCCTTTCAGAAAAAGAAAGAATTACAATTCAATGACTCAACATCTTTAACATTTCCATGGGTGTTACAAAAAAATTCTTACAAATAGAGCTGCAGATCAAATAGGCCAAATTTACTTCCAAGTAAGCTGTAGGAAAAATAGTACCGATCGAGTCGCACATTCCATCCAAATCTTTAGCATGCCTGTTGCAATAAATTTCTTACAAATACAAATACTGCCACTACAACAGTCCTTACAGAACCATGAAAATCTTGCTTTCTAAACTAATATAAGAGTGTTTAGAATACTAAAATAGTGATCTAAATGCTCTTATATTAGTTTACAGAGGGAGTACAATACTTACAAAATACTCTTTACAACTAACCAAGCCATGAAAAACAATGCAAATGTCACTCAGCAACTTCCTGTTACAGTGTTTTCTTTGAATTAACTCTTGCAATAAACCATCTCGAGTTTCTAATCCAAATCCATCAACAGATATACTCCCTCCATACCAAAATATAAGACGTTTTTGCAGTTCAAATTGAAATGCAAAAATGTCATATTTTGATAGAGGCAGTACATAACTTGCAAGTCTTCAATCCCCAAGCCACCTAGGACAAACATCAGCCCATCTAACTGTCATCCTCCTGCCACAACATCCTTCTCATAAAAAACTCAATTATTCAGAAGGCTCTATGGGCAAAGTAATCATTGACATCATAAAGGGAATATTACTCAGACAGGGTCAAGTAAGAATCAATTTACCACCATAGTCTAGAAAATTTCCTTGCTAGATTTCCGTGTTATATTCTCAGCTTTATTCCAATCATTATTCCTAGATTTAACAGTATTTACAGAAATCCCTAAATATTTAAAGAGGCAATGATCCAATATTGCAAGTAAAAATCTCCTTATATCTTTCTAGATCATTCCCAGCTTCACCAAAGCAACAAATATCACTCTTACGAGAAGTAATTTTTAAACCAGCTAAATGTTCAAACAGAATCAGAATTGATTTTAGATTTCTAGCATTTTTTTCTCCAGCCTCAGTTAAATCATCGCTAGACCTACTACTGAATTAGGCACTGCCCCTTTAATCTCTCCTTGAGAAATAGCTCTACAAGTTCTTGCAAGAAATTAATAGCAATATTGAATAAAATGGGGGACAGGGGGGCCCCTGTCTTAAACCTTTCTTAGTTTTAAAAAAGGACCCAACTGGTCATTAACTCTAACAGAAAACGTTACCACTTTGAACAATCTGTTCTATCCAGCAAACATAATCAGAAGGAAACACTTTCAGAAATAAATAAAAAATAGTAAGTTGGAGTCTTCGCCACAAACCAAAAATATGATTATTATATTAGCAGAAGTAAAAGCCAAATTCCTACTTTTTTCTAAACTGATTACTCCAACACATATCAAATATCGTAGAATGGTAAAAGTTATCTAATATTCAAAAGCATAATAAGCAAAAGTAAAGGTTAGTTGGAGTCTCGACTGAAAGGAACATATGCACTAAGATTGTTCATGATTAAGCAAATGCTAACATGGCATAGAAAATCAAAATGTATAGGTATAGGATATCGTGCACATAATTAGTTGTCTTTCTACATTTTGCATCTCAAAGAGGAATGAATTGTAACACACTAAAATGAAGGTCGGGCATTATGACAAACTCATCCATATGGTACTGTCAAAAAAAGTCCATATGGTTATTGACAAATCTATTTTTATGCAAATAACCTTAACCTTCATGCTATACAATTTAACCAACCTGGGACTACTGTTGTAAGCACCGACTCTCCAAATTATAAATGCATTCACTGATACTACAAGACTTGGCACTCAAACATAGCCAGCGCTCTCTGCGAAAAAACAATCATGGAGTTCTTGAGAATACTTTGCGCAAATTTATGCCACAACAAATTGCTATTGCTCTTTGACAGTAACAGCAGCACATATGATTACTCAACCAAAAAATACAGCAGCATATATGATGTAGTGTTCATTGTCCACCTTTTTCCTGCTAGGGTACATTGACTGATCTATTTTTTTAATTCCTGATTCATATTTAGGATGTGCTGCTCTTGGATATTAGCGGCCCCCCTAAAGTGGTACAGGCTAACTACAAGAAGTATGTCCAATCAGCGAGGTGGTGGAACTATAAGAAAGGCATCCGAGTGGATGTGACTCGACTCTTCCGCAGAAAAAAACACGTCTTCACCACTCCAGAGAAGGGCACGTGTTGCACAGTGGTCAAGTATAAAAAAGATACAATCACATTTATTAAGCAAGGTCGATACTGGTGGGTGAAAGCCTACTGCATTGATGGTAAGGTGCATGAGCTAAAACCGGACGGTGACCAGAAGAACTACATAGAGTGCTCGGACCACACAGTCCTTTCCTTTGGAGGTAACCACCATGATATATGCAATGGTGACCCTGGAGGGTCGCTTACAGGTTTGCGTTACCTAAGAAAGGCATTCACCTCCATAATCGAGGGTGGGGAGCGCATAGACCCCAAGTTCGTAGGTCTTTTTGTTGTTTATCTGGGAGAAGGTCCAAGGTTTGAGATAGTTTTTCAAGCACTGTACATGAACATTCCCAGCCCAAATTCTATGCGCCTCGACTATTTTATTCCATGGATGAATGAGCTCGTGCGCAACTGGAACAAGCTGAGCGAATATGCCATGAAGTACATGCACTGTCTTCGCGAAGGATTGGAGCTCCCAGAGTTAGACCAAGGCATTGCTTTTCCAGGGATGGACTCTATTGAGAAAGTTCTTGAGTTGGTGAAGATTCTACAGTTAGATGCTTACGATGATGGTATTTTCAGTCATGAAAAAGCGCAACAGCCAGATGTATGGCGTGCACGTGATGAGTCATTTGCTAGAAAGGAAAAGGATACACACTGCAAAAAGAAACATGGAAAAGGTGCACCTCCTCCTGAGGATTCTTTTGTACCTATGGATGACGGTCTGTTTCATATGTTGAATGTCAATGGGAAGGTGGAGAGTTTATTTACAGAGCAGCCCCCTGGTCCTGAACTGAAACTGGGTCAAGGGCATGGGCGGTTTTCAAATAAAGCAAAAGTTAGTTCTCCAAGCTGCTACGCTAGAAGGAAGATGAGCACCCAAGGATGGGACAACAAGGTGTGTGTAAAATGTTAAAACAGCACTCAGAGCTATATCTTTTGCATATCCATATTGTATAATCTTCTCAAAACGTTTTATTGCAGATTCTTCATCTGAAAAGGTCTATTTTGGATATGCCAATGGACAAATTGCTGCATACCACCTTGGCGAGAAGACAAGTGCAAATGCCCATGAGGCTTCATGTCAGCATCATAAATACCTCAAAAAATGAAAAGTTCTTTACAAAAACGACTACATGGACAACCCAGAAGTGCTGTCCTTATCGTTACCTCCCCAAAGACAATATAAAGGTTTGTAAAAAGTTGTTTTAGTTTGAATGCTCTATTATTCACTTTATAATATCTTTGCACCTCTTAATTGCAGGTTTTGGGTATTGGAGGAACTGCGGAATTTATAGGTGAAAGAATTATACAAACCAGAATGGTCAACAAAAGAATGGCCATGCTCAGGCCTTTGATTCTCGGTATGCACATGGTGCAGACCTGCCCGCGGTGGCCAGGAATGTTTCGAGCTGCTAACAGCAAAGGACACAATGTTTTGCATCGGTTTATTCTAAGCCCGCAGAGTCCTGCACAAGGTGAAGTTGGGAGGTAATCTCTCTTATTCCAAAATTTTGACTTTACACTGAAATAAGCACCAAGGTGGACAAAGTGGCCAGTGTCTTCTCCATATTCTCTTGCCTGATTAATGGCTACACACTGATGTTTTTCTTCAAGCAATGCCATAAATTTCTGTTTAGATGTTGGCAAGTTTGTGTTATTTATTGTTTTGTAAAAATGGTTGTAGATATCAACCCTAGGTTTTCTGTTTATTCTAGTTCCCAGGAACAGATTCAGACTTTTAAAATATGAGCTATGCAACACTCCTCCAATTTATGATGTTCTACTGCTCTGCCTTGCACTCTGACTCAGATTTGTAGTGCTACATGCCTACATCATAAAGTCTAGTTGGCCATAAGCCTCTGTTTAGATGCTGGCAAGTTTGCCTTATTTTTCGTTATGTAAAAATGGTTGTAGATATCAACCATAGGTTTTCTGTTTATTCTAGTTCCCAGGAACAGATTCAGACTTTTAAAATATGAGCCATGCAACACTCCTCCAATTTATGATGTTATACTGCTCTGCCTTCCTCTGTGACTCAGATTTAATTGCTCTTGCTCAGCCTTGGATTTTGCTCTGCTCAATGCTCGCACGGTCACACCTCATGCTAGCTACTAATAATAATTTCTGCAGGTTATGGCTGAGCTGCAAGGAGAAGCTGCAGAATATGGCTTCTGGCAAGATTTGCAGCACAAGGATATAATCGAATGCAAGTTGTGCAAGAAAATGCCCCAAGGAAACTGTGGAAATTAGGAAAGAGATGCTCGAGTTACTGAACCACAATTCAAGAAAGAAAATGCCCCAAGGAAACTGTGAATATATTGACTATTGCCAGTATAGATTATCTGGACCATGTACTTCTGGTGACACTGTTACTCTCGACGTAAATTTCTGTTCCAGAACAGCATGCAAATGCTAAAGACCAACTTGATGATTTGCTTGGTTTTATGCAGAGGGGATGCTGGGAGAGTTTTGTTTTCATTTCTCTGGTCAGAGTTTATGTGGTTAGATAATTAGTGAAGACTATTTTGACATTTCCAAGCGAGATTTACATATTGGGTGAAACATAAGAAATTTATCCTAAATGATAATAAGATTACAGAACCAGAAAGAATTCAAATGAAAAGTGGCATCTGAACCATAAGGTATTTAAATTATACCACAGACTAAATTGCAGTTGCATGCATAAAATCTGCATTAATTAGTAAACCATGCAAGTTAAATTCAGAACATACCATCTGAAATCGAGTGCCTGTAGTTAGATACATCGTTTGTTGATTGCCTTGGCCTCCAAATTTCTAGTACTAGAAACAAAATCAAATAAGTAATAGCTGTATTACAAAATGTTCACGTTGAATCAGCCTAGTGGAATTAGAGCATATGATGTCATTAACATTCTAGATGACTTTGCTAAAAAAAATCATTTTGCAAGGATTTGAATAAACCCATGAGGGGCTGCCAGCTTTGTTCCTCGGGTGAGGATCGAAATGCACCGTATAACTAAGACAAACACCATTTTAACTTATAGTAGCCTTATACCATAATTATCATAGCATGCAAACTTGGTAGAGAACATAAAAATTATAAACAGTAAACCATTCATGCTACCACCAAAACCATGATAAATTCCGAAAGAAGATCATGTCAAACATAAGGAGGCAAAGCATCAAAGAGGGAAATAGGGAAGAACTCACCAGTGCAGAGTCAACGAGACAATTACATCCCGCTTACGTGCAGCGGCGTCAGGGGTAGAACTGCGGCCATCCCCGAAGTGAAGAAAAGAAGAGGATATTGCCACAGCATTTAGTGACACTGATGGGTGGCCTCCCTATTAACAGCTGCAGTGGCCACAAAGTGGGGCGGTCTTCTTTAGAACACCATACTAAACCACTAATGCATACAGACCCTTGCCGGCAACATGGGAGGTGGATCTGTAAGAGAATCAACAATATGGCAAGAAGAAGGGTATGTGTCCTAATTGCTCACAATTTAATCTGTACAAGAATCAACAATATGACAGGCGACTTGATCTTATTGTGACAGAGGAGTACGCATCTCTAGATTCTTATCACCATGTCTCAGTCCTAAAGAAGCAATAGGGTAGAGTAACCATTTACTTGCAATTTCCATGTCATTCTTTGTAAATGTTATACTACATGGCACATGCCCATGTCAAAAGGGGAAATCATATATTCATATGCAACTCAATGATCATATGGTACAAAACCTGCATCCTGTAAAAGAATCCCCAGCCTAATCAAAGATGGCAATTGAACACCCCATGGTTGTATTTCACGCCATGCAAGAATTTCTCTGCAAGTAATTCATATCAAAGAGATAATAGAACAATCTGAGTGGACACGGAAATGCATACATTACAACGGGAAAAGCTGAAGCTGAGTCATCCAAGTATGGAGCAGATTGAACACCCTCAGAAACAGTCAACTACAGCTCACGCTTCCACTTCGCATCAGTCAGTCTGCATTTGATGGACATGGAGGTTTCTCCCTGGGATGCTTTGATCCATAGTGATCTATCAACTGCCTCTCGTTAGCCTGTTGTGCCTGCACACATAGAAGATGTTACATTAAGTTGACACTGCATCAATCATGAGGAACATGTATCCATGTAAAGCTAACTATACACTAGTATATCCGGTTATGCTTGCACACAGTTTTCAACTTGATTCACATCAACATGAACCCAAGCAAAATATTCCACGAATTTCTTCATGAAATCCAGACCATGTGACCATCTCTAAAAAAGAAATCATATGTAACTCAACAAGCATATGCCAGCACAGTTGCATCCTAACAATGATCATAGGGTACATAAAAACAGAAGCCCAGAGCCGAGACCTAAGCAAAGATGGCAATTGGACGCCCTAAGTAGTTAATATTGATAATACTTCATGCCACAAAAGAATTTATCTGGCAATGATTCATATCAAAGAGATGATATAGAACTAACTGAGTGTGCACACACATGAACTCAAGCATAATATTGTATGGCTTTCTTTATAAAATTTAGACTATATGACGCATCTCGGAAAGCATATGCTAGTGCAGTCGCTTGGTGGCAATATATGACCAAGTTCACTTACATATATTCTCCCTCCGTCCCAAAATAAGTGTCTCAACTTTAGTACAAAGTTAAGACACTTATTTTGGGACGGAGGGAGTAGTTTATTTACTTGTACATCATGATAGTGCAGTGGCAACCGCAAAAACTCAGTTAGAATTTCATAAAGAAGAAAGCGGACAGAAATAAAGAGGCATTCCTTTGGTGAAAGAATGTACCTTAACATATGTTCATCTGGATCTCTCCTCTTGACCAGAGGCTGGCCCAAGGATGCTGCCGGTGCATTCATGGAGAGTCACACCTGACAGCAATCGCAGCGACGGGGAGAACCCCGTTAGAGCAACCTGCGAAAAACAAAATTGCAACCCTTATACAACAACGAATAGTAGAGCAAGCAAACTACATCCCATAATAAACAAATAAAAGAAGCAATTTTGAAAATAAAAGTCTGCAACGATCCACATGGAGAAGCAATTTGTCCGATGAGAATAACCAGGGGAT